GTATATGGGGTCAGCGCCCTACCCACTGAGCCACAGGCACCGCCCACAAATTCAGTTTTAAAAATAGTCATAATGTAAATGATAGCTGGGTCAAAGAAGAAATTAAGAAGGAAATCACCAAATTTTTGGAGCAAAATGATAACGAAGACACAAATTATCAAAACCTGTGGGATACTGCAAAGGCAGTCCTATGAGGAAAATTTATAGCATTGGAGGCCTTCATCAAGAAAACAGAAGGAGAAGAAGCCAACAACTTAATAGATCATCTCAAGCAACTGGAAAAGGAAGAACATTGCAACCCCAAACCCAGCAGAAGAAAAGAAATAACCAAAATTAGGGCAGAATTAAATGAAATTAAAAACAAAAGAATCATTCAGAAGATCAATGAAACAAAAAGTTGTTTTTTTGAAAAGATTAACTTTTGATAATCTTTGATAATTGTGGTTTATCTTTATAATTGATAAACCTTTGGCCAACCTAACCAGAAATAGAAAAGTAAACTCTCTAATATTGTCTATCAGAAACTATAAAGGAGAAATAACAACAGACACTTCAGAAATTCAAAAAATCCTCAACTATTACTACAAAAATCTCTATTCCCAGAAATATGAAAATCTGAAGGAAATGGACCAATACCTGGAAGCATGCTGCCTTCCTAGACTCAACCAGAAAGGATTAGAAATGTTGAATAGACCTATATCAACCACTGAAATAGCATCAATAATACAAAATCTCCCTAAAATGAAAAGTCCAGGATAGATGGTTTTACATCTGAATTCTATTAAACCTTTCAAGAGGAACTAGTACCTATATTATACAACGTTTTCCAAAGCATAGAAAAAGAAGGAATACTTCCCAACACATTCTATGAAGCAAATATCACCCTGATCCTCAAAGCAGGAAAGGATCCAACAAAGAAAGAAAATTATAGAATAATATCATTAATGAATATTGATGCAAAAATATTCGATAAGATCTTAGCAAACAGAATTCAACAACATCAAAAAAATTATACACCATGATCAAGTTGGTTTTATTCCAGGGTTATAGGGTTGGTTCAATATAACACAAATCTATAAACATAATACATCATGTCAATAAAATAAAAAGCAAAGATCATATGATTCTCTCAATTGACACAGAAAAACCCTTTGATAATATCCAGCATCCTTTCATGATCAGAATTCTTAAGAAAATGGGCATAGAAGGGACATTTCTTAAACTAATAGAGGCCATCTACAGCAACTCCATAGCCAATATCATATTGAATGGTGTAAAATTGAAAACATTTCCACTCAGATCAGGAATGAGGCAAGGATGCCCACTGTCTCCACTGCTATTCAACATAGTAATCGAAGTCTTAGCCATCACAGTCAGGCAAGTAACTCCAGTAAAATCAAGGGTATCCAAATAGAGTCAGAGGAGATCAAACTCTCACTCTTTGCTGATGATATGATCCGGTACCTGGAAAATTCCAGGGACTCAACCTCAAAACCCTTAGAAGTGATCAAGGGATATAGCAGCATCTCAGGATACAAAATCAATACTTACAAGTCAGTAGCTTTTATATAAGCCAATAATAGTCAAGCTGAAAAAACAATCCAGGACTCCCTTTTGCCAAAGAAGATGAAATATTTGGGAGTTTACCTAACAAAAGACATGAAAGATCTCTATAAGGAGAACTATGAAACTCTGAAAAAATTAGCTGAAGACATTAACAAATAGAAAAACATATGCTCATGGCTGAGAAGAATCAACATTGTTAAAATGTTCATACTACCCAAAGCAATCTACAGATTTAATGCAATCCCTATTAAAGCACCATTGTCATACTTTAAAGATCTTGAAAAAATAGTACTTCACTTTATATGGAATCAGAAAAAATCTCAAATAGCAAATACATTACTCAGAAATAAGAACAATTCAGGAGGTATCACA